ATCGCCATTGAGGAATAAAATACCAAACATGTAAGTATCCCACTAGCTTCTCCTTTGAAACTTAGTTCTCAGTTATCTCCTAAAACTAACGAAGGAGATTATCTGGCAAAAGTTTCATATGCTAATGCAGTTGGGAGCTTGATGTATACAATGTGTGCACACGTCCTGACATTTCACAAGCAGTTGGAGTTGAGAGCATGTACATGCATGATCTTGGAAAAGGATATTGGCAAGCTGTGAAATGGATTCTATGGTATCTCCAACAAACCGTGGATGTTGGTTTAGTTTTTGAATAGGATGAAGCACTTGGTCAGTGTGTGGTTGGATATGTTGATTCCGACTATACTGGTGACTTGGATAAACGTCGATCAACTATTGGTATTTGTTTACTCTTGCTAAAGCCCCAGTAAGTTGGAAGTCTACTTTGCAATCTACGGTGGCTTTGTCTACTATAGGGACAGAATACATGGCAGTTTCAGAGGCTGTAAAGGAAGCAATTTGGCTTAACGGGTTGATGGAAGACTTGGAAGTTGTTCAAATTCACATTAGTCTCTATTGTGATAGTCAGAGCGCTATTCACTTAGCGAAAAATCAAGTCTACCATTCAAGGACTAAGCATATCGACGTGAGGTATGAAAGATTCTACTTCAGAAAATTGCGACATCAGAAAATCCTGCAGATATGATGACCAAGGCGGTAACAGTAATCAAGTTCAATCATTGTTTGAACTTGATTAACATCATAAAAGTTTGAGCACCTTCGGGTGTATGGCGCTTGTGAGCGCAATTAGAGGCACTACATTAAAAGAGCTTCATCAAATTTGGGGAGTTGAAGAAGTTGAGTACTTGGTAATTTCAGGCCAAGGTGGAGATTTGTTATGTTTGGCTTGAAAGTTGGCCAAGTTGACATCTTTGGTTGGTGGCCAACTTGTACACATTGGAAAATTCATCTTTGGTAGGCGGTCAACTTGTGCACATTTGAAAATTCATCTTTGGTAGGTGGCCAAACTTTTGCACATGGGAATTTCATATTTGGTTCCTAAAATATGAGGTTATTTATAAGTTTAGTCCTTAAAACTCAACTATAAATAGGTTTATGTATTTCATTAGAAATCATCCCAAAACAAGTTCTCTCTTCCTCTTGTTTTCTTCATTCTCTCACTTTGGGAATTCTAAAGAATTCCATTTGTTGTAATATTTTGTTGATAGTGAAGTTATCATCCGGTGTGGTGCCCGAGGAGTAGACGGTATTTTCTTCGAACCTCGTAAATTTGGTGTTTTCTCTCCTTTATTGTTTTTATTCGGTTTTTACATTGTGTTTCAATATTCAATAGTTTGACGGGTTTATCCGCTGTGCAACCTTTGGTGGTTTTGATATTGACATTTTAGATCAATTTTAAAACTACGTTCGTGTGGGAAATAATCCGGTTTCTCAACATTCTAATCTTATCATGAAATGCATATCTACTTCATCTATCCAGATACAGTAAAATAGCTCTTTGACTGCCCTCTTTTCGCCCTCAAGAGGAATTCGTAAAGGCGACCCCATTTCTCCCTACTTATTTGTTCTTACAATGGAGAGGCTTGCCCATAGAATTAATCATTCTGTTGCTACTGGATCATGGGCACCTTTGTCTCTTGTTCGGAACTGCCCCACCTTGTCTCACCTTTTGCAGACGATTTAATCCTTTATCGCAAAGCCACAACGGATCAAGCACGTCTCGTCCAAGATGTCCTTGAGGAATTCGGTTATTTTTTCGGGCCATAAGATTAATCCGCAAAAGTCTGAAATTTTCTTCTCCTCCAACACTGATTCGGCTATTTCAAACTCTATTTGCTCGACCCTTGGGTTCACACAAGTCACCGATCTTGAATCCTATTTAGGTGTTCCGGTTATTTATAAACGTGTTACATGTAGTTCCTTTCAATATATCCGAGACAAACTCGAAAGGAAACTCAATAGCTGGACCACATCCTCCCTATCTTTTGCGGGGCGTCTTACTCTTGTCAAGTCAGTCTTGGCGGCGATTCTGACTTGTTTTATGCAATCAAGCATGTTTCCTTTGCAAGTTTGTTAGGATATTGAACGCCTTGTCCGCAAATTTCTTTGGGGTTCTTCTAATGTTGCTCTTGTTAATTGGAACACTATTGCCCAGCCCCACTCATGTGGAGGTCTCGGCATTCGTTCAATGCAGCATCACAACATTGCCCTCCTCTGGAAAATTTGCTTTGCTTTGATCAATAATACCGAGGATTTTTGGATTATCATACTACGCCATAAATATAAAATCATGGAGAAGTGTCCACTCACCATTTCGAGACCCAATTGCGCCTCCACACTTTGGGGCTCTCTTTCGAGATTATGGAGTGCTTTCGGATCTCATATTTTTTGGACAATTGGCAATGGCATAAACACCCTCTTTTGGACTGATTGCTGGATCCCTTTACTTGGCCCTCTCTTTAATTGAAAATCTGCGAATGCTAACATTGATGCAAATTTGTGTGTGACAGACGCTGTCACTGGTTCTGGGAATTGGAATTGGACTCTTCTCCAGAAGCTCTTAATTCCGGAGCGACTACGATGCTGGTCCATTACTCCGAATGGCTCTTTCACAACCAAGAGTGCTTACCAAGCTCTCATGGAATCTAAATGGAATGATCAGAACAATGATTGGCTAATTCCTTCGAAAATTGGAGTTCCGGAGCGACTACGATGCTTCATTTGGCTATCTCTGAATGATAAATATCAAACCTGAATCGTTATCGTTGTCATCTTTTGGACAGCCCCTCTTGCCATTGCTATGTCGACGTCGAAGAATCCACCATCCATATTCTTCATGATTTTCCCGATACCAAGACTTTATGGGAGTCCTTATTTAATCGCTGCAATGTACGTGACTTCTTCAACTTGCCTCTTACTGAATGGATCCTTACCAATCTTAAATCCATTAGCCCTACGAACATACCTTGGAATAGTATGGAAGCATAGGAATGCTCGCATCTTCAGCAGCTCCAGCATTTCGCACGATAATATTTTTTACTCGCGTCTTCACTGGTCTAATATTTATAATAATCCCGTGCCTCCAATGACTTGTGCCTCGATGATTCAACTTGGATTGCTCCACCAATCGGCTGAATTGCGCTTAACTCGGACGGTGCTGTCGACCCTTCAACCTCCTCCGGTTCAGCCGGAGGTCTTCTTCGAGTCCACCTCGGTAATTGGCTTGGTGGATTCTCCAAACCTCTCGGCTCCACTACAATAGCTCAGGCTGAACTCTGGGGATTATTCGAGGGTCTCAAGTTTGTTTAGTCTCAAGGTTTCGAAAAAATCCTTTGCTAAATTGATAGCAGTGATGTCTTTTTAATGGTGACTTACCCTACGGCGAATACCAGTCCCATTTCGCTTGTCCGGCAATTGATTCGCTTCAGAATGGAGGATGGGTTGTTGAACTAAAATTCATCCGGCATGATTCTAACATGGCGGCAGACGCCCTTGCAAAATTTGGAAAGACTCTCTCTGAAACTCAAACGTGGCTTTCTCCAGCTCCTGACTTTGTTTATCTTGATCTTCAAAGGGATTTTAGGGGCATTACAAATGCTTCTCTTTAAGTTGTAAAGGCTCTGCCTTCTTTTCAAAAAAAAAAAAAAAATTGCTAGCTTTATTATTATAAGATTTATAAATATTTAATATTAGTTTTGTTATTATAAGATTTATAATGAATATTAATTTGTTAATATAAAAAAATTATGAAAATAATATTTTTCATAATAATAAATTATAACAAATTTATTTAATGATAACAACATATTAAATATAATCAAAATAAGAAATTATGTCAAATTTATTTAGTCATGATATTTTCAATAAATAAATAATTATGAAAACATTTATATAGTCATAATAACAATTATTTGTAATTAATTGTAACAAATTTCGTAATAATATATTAAATTCAAAATAAGAAATTATGTCAAATTTATTTAGTTACACTATTTTTCTCAAAATAATAAATGATGAAAAAATTATTTAATCAAAATAGTAATTAATAACATATATTAATTTTTCAATATAAAAATTTATGACAAATAATACTTTTTCATAATAATAAATAGTAGCATATTTATTTAGTCACAATGTCATAATAAATTTAGTCAAAATAAATAACTATGTCAAATTTGTTTCATCACAATATTTTCTCAAAATAAATACTTATTATAAAAAATGTTAATTTGTCAATATAACAAATTATGAAACAATATATTCTTTCACGATAATGAATTGTAACAGATTTATTTAGTCAAAAAAATTATAAGAAATATTTAGTGACGAAATAAAAGTAATAAGAATATAAATTTTGTTGTAACATATATTTTTGTCATGAAAACGTTTTTTACGATGTTATAATTTAAGTTGATTGTGACAAAATTTACTTTTTGTGATTAGATATATATCTTATTTCAACAAATATTTTGTCTTTGTAAGTTACATTTAGTGAGAAAATAAAAACAGTGAGAAAATATTTTTTCTCGCAATATGTATTTTCGTCATAAAAACATTTTATATCTGATGTTAAAATATAAGTTAATTATGAAAAGATGTACTTCTCATGAAGAAATAGTTAATTGATAGTGACAAATGTTTTATCATATAACTTAACTATAGTAACGAAATTTTATTGTTATAATAAATAATATAAAATGGTAAAAAACACGATTTGGTCACAATATACTTACATGACAAGGTTGTTCTAACAAACATGGTACAAATAAAATTGGTCAAAATAAATATATCTTGACAAATTTAGTACTTCTAGTAATAAATAATTTTGCTGAAACAATAGAAATTTCTTGTAGTGAAAGTTCAGTGAGTAAATTAGAAAAATTTAAAGTACAGAGAGCAAAATAGGATATTGAGTATAACTCAGTGAAGGATGGTGTAATTTACCCTTGAAATTAAAATGTTGAATTGGTTAATTATAATGGGGCACAAAAATGCATGTTCTATTCTTTTAAATAGAAAAAAAAAAAGATAATATAACTGTCATCTTGGTGTATTGGCATTGGCATTGCCAAAACCGATTCTTGTTGCATCTGAACGCAAAGCATCTCCGTGTGAGCCAAAGCTAACTGCATTTGCAACTCTGATATTTTGTTTTGAAGGTAGGATATGTTCCCCACGCATCCATATACTGGATCCCTCACTCTTGCATTTGCTTCATAAACTAGGCTACTAACAGCATCCGCTCTCATCTCAACCGCCAGCTCCTGCATGTAAATAACATATTACGCATCATATATTTGGGTAAAGTATAAAAATGGTCCCTCAGTTTTAGGGTGTTGTTTTTTGAGTCCTCTAACTATTAGAAGTTATGAAATGGTTCTCCAACTATTAAAAGTTACAAAATAGTCACCCTACTATTAATATGTTCCAAACTCGTCATTCTTCGATAAAAATTGGTGGTCGTTTCAAATGAAAGCTAACCTGGTCATTGGTAAATGATAAAATCTGATCGCATAATTGTTTAAGATGTATTTTGTAGATCGAGACTTTGTTTGCATTAAGTCATTAAGCTAGTGCATTAAATATTATGTCATCAAGCTAATGTTTGAAAGCAACGGTTGTGCCAGTAGACATCATTAAAAATATGATTTGATCGTATTTCAATCATTGGGTTAATGTTCAGCTCAATCGATCATCAATATTTTAATATAAAAGAACGAGTTTGGAACGTATGAATAGTCATATGTTCATTTTGTAACTTTTTATAGTCAGAGACCTCAACAAAGAAAGGCTCTATAGTCAGAGGAAAAGTTTATGACTTTTAATAATTGGGAGACTTAACAAAATATCACCCTATAATCGGGGTCATTGTGTTCTTTACCCTATTTTTTAAAACCAAAACAAAACAGAATAGATTAATAAATATAAGATATACCAAAGCATGCATTTCCATTTCCAAATTTTTCATGCAAAGAAATTAAATGATGATGGAGTAGAAATTGTTGAAAGAAACCTGTAACATTTTGTTGACATTGCTGGCACCAAACACTTTGTGAACGATAGCAAACTTGTGAGGGTCATCGGATGGGAAATAAGGGGCGAAGATGCAATCCTTTGCGCATCGACTCCTCAAGAGTTTGCAGGACGCGCATGGTGAAGAACCTCCCATCTCTCTCTCTCTCTCTCTCTCTCTCTCTCTCTCTCTCTCTCTCTCTCTCTATGATGATCTCAAGATATGCACAAAGGAAGATGACTGAGTTATATTTATAATGGCTGGGGTTGGGGGCTGGGATTAATTCTATAAAATAATTAAGGTATTGGATTCATTTTAAGGCTGTAATAAAAGTACAAACACCTGTTATACGTATTTTTATTACACTTTTCAAATAGGATTAGGGTGCGATTGGTAAAGTTTTTTAAAAGATTTTTTAGTTAAAGAATTCGTTTTGACCTTAAAATTAATGCTAAAAAGGTAAAAAAAATGAAAAAAAAAACTTAAGGTCGAAATAATAGTTTCAAACCAATCGCAAAAACTAGGATTTCTAACTTCTTCATTTTTAACTTTATGTTTGGAAATAAATTATAATTTTACCCTTACATTAGCATGTCCTCCACCCAATTATGTATTTACATTTTATTTTAATAATTTAGTGTTGACATCCTTAAAAATTATTACTTTCAATAATTTATTTTAATAACTAAAAATAAATAAAATTTAAAATTTATATATTAAAATATTAATAATGAGTTATATAAAATATATATTTTATTTTGTAATTATATTTTTAATTGTATTTTTTATAGTTTAAATTAATATAATTCATATATAATAATAATATTTTTGAATTTATTATAGTTTAAATTGATATGATTATATATAAGTGTAAATATAATTTAAATGTTATATTTTTAATTTACAACATAATGTCTATAATGGACATTTTATATTTTCAAACTCAATTTTTAACAATAATTCTAAATAATTAAACTTTAAACTGCACTTTTATACAATATTTTTAGAAGATTGTTTCTATAATACTTTTAAAATTACTTTTCAAAAACTATATCAAACTGGCACTCAGTGTAAAACTCGAACCTTGATTCTTGTCAAAGTATTGGTGAGTATTTAATTAACTGAATTAATCCATGTTGATAGGTGTTTTAATTGCACTTATGTCTCTCACTCACCCAACAATAATAATTTAAAAACATGTGTATAAGGTTTTCTTTATTTAAAAACTATATATATATTTTAAAAAATATTTTTATTATCTATTTCATAATTTATATTTAAAATTTGTGACTGTCACTCTCGTAATAACAATAATTGCCAAAGTTTGAATATATTTTCTCAATCAATTTTATTAATTTGAAAGAAAGCTTCTTCAAACCAAGAGGGGCAAAAATACAAGTAGTTCCAAATCAAACAAAAATTTTCCTTTTAGGACTGCAAAGTGAAATACGCCACCCAAAACTTTTACGTTAATAATAATATTAGATGTTTGTAAAAACTAAATCAAATTAATATATATTCTTTTCAAAGAAAACAGGACTCATTACAAATACCGTGTATCCAATACCAAAGTGTTGGCCCTACAAGGGGAATCGAATGCCCAAACTAGATTAAATTAAATAAATTTTCTCTCGTTAAAAACCTTGAATACCCAATACCGAAGTGTTGGTCCTACAAGGGGAAAAAGTGCTCAAACTAAATTAAATTAAATAAATTGTATCTCGGGACAAACCGAGTAAAATTAAAATGTAAATATAATATTAAGTTTTTTATGAAATGTTAAAAATATAATTTATACGAATAAAGATCAGTTCAACATAGAGCTGGGTATATGGGTTAAGGCCCGCGGGCTACCGTATAACCCGCGGCTCGTGCAGACTTCGGGCCTCAAAAAATAAAGCTCATTTAAATTTCGAGTTTATTAGACCGGACCGTTAAACTCGTAGGTTTAATGGGTATACTCGCGGGTAACCCGCTTAATTTAATTATTTTTAATTATTTTATGTTTTACAGAAGACAATTCACGTTTAGCCAAATTCACGTTTTATGTGCATTTTAGCCATAGTCCAATTCATGTTTTATGTGCACTGAAATCTGAAGCCCAATTCACGTTTTAATTTAATGATATCCAATTTTGAAGTTTGAACGTATTAATTATACTTATGGTAACGTAATATGATAACATAAGCAAAAAGGTTTCCATCTTTTTATATACGTATTTACCATTTATAATTAATAACATCAATATATATATAAATAAGCCATAAAACGTTTATTATACTCCAATAATTAATCATAAGAAAAATTATATACATATGCGTTAAAAAAATAGAAAAAAAACAAATCAAAATATTAAACCATGTATAAATATAATAATTAAATTAAAAAGGTAAAGTAACATAATATGCAAATATGCAAATAATATATAAAACTTGAGGCAATGATAAAAAACATACATAAAAGTGGAGTGCAAAATTAAAATAATAAACTAGATTTGAGGATTATATTGCATTAATTCAAAAGTGGGTGGAGCCCTTACACGATTAACACATTAAAACTTGTAATGGTTGCCCTAAATCCCTAAAATACTTTGTTTTGTGTGACTTATATTATATATACGCCGTTATAAAATTTTAGGAACCATAGCCTCATTTTTTTTTGTTTCCCTTCTCCGTCGTTTCTCTCTGTCTCCCCAACTTCTCTCTTTTTCACATAAAAAGTAAACGGGTAAGCCCGTTTAGCCTGCATGTTAAATGGACGGGCCACGGACCTTAAAATTCAAGACTGTTTATGATTGCGGGCTTTTTAAACCGCTCCGTTTAAGCTCGTATCGTCAAAACCCGCGTGCTAAACGGGCGGGTAGCCCGTATACCCAGCTCTAGTTCAACATCATATTTTTCCTGGGTAAATAAATGCTGTAAATCGGATTCAATTGTATCGTTGTTCATATTATAGATCTCGGTGCGAGAGAAGACATGGAAGACTTCAAACTATTTTAGGTTTAACCGTATATCAAATGTAGTTGTACTTGATATGAAACAAAAATTTTAAATTTGTATTAGACATTGTAATAAACAATCATACATGGTTTTTTTGGGTAATAGTAGCATATAATTAATGAGGAGAAACATGAGAAATAAAAGCCAACACCTTAAACCGGGATTCAATGAGAAATGGGCTCAACGTGAATGTCTGTTGGCGAACATTCACATGCATGCAAACATACATAGCCATCCCTCCCATGAATGCATCTTTGGATTTATTAAACCAGCGAAACACGATGTAGGCATTAATGACTGTTTAGCAACCTACCAAGCCATATGCTTACTATTCAATTCCCATGCATATATATATATATATGCTGCAGCAAACACATCGAATTTGCTGCATCTTTTTCTTTCTAGAATGTTTTCCAGTTTAAAGAGATTTGATTACCAAACCATAGATCGGACAACAATTTTTTAATCGGCTGAATGTGGTCACCAATTTGTACGTTAAGACGAAAGTATCAAGGACCACTCGTAATGACCAAAGAACAGACCAATATGCAAAGAGCTAACATCAGGAACATACTCAAATTTCAAACAATCGCATTATTTCCAAAAAAAAAGTATCCAAGTTTCATTTGTTGCAATGATTAAAATGGGTAAATTACACAAATGCTCCCTGAGAATAGAGTGCTACTTTGTTGAGTCCCCTAATTATAAAAAATTACAAAATAATCTTCCGATTATAGGACGATATTTTGTTAAGTCCCCCGACTATTAAAAGTGTGAGCACCATTTTTATTTTATAACCCAACCTAAAACCAATACCTAAACCCATTTTACAAACAAGATCTTAACCCAATACCCCACCAGACCCTAAACTAAAACCCAAACCGAAAGACCTGAAACCTCAACCCAAATCAAACCCGACCCAGGGCCCAAAACCTAGCCCAACCCGTATCTAACCTAACCTTGCCCTAGCCGCCCATTTCACCCACTCAATGGCCACCACCCCTCTACCCAACCACTCTTTAGCCACCACAGCTGTCACCAATCCATCCTCTGCCATGTCAGAAATTCCTACAACAAGCAAACCCAATACACACACAAGCAACCATTCTTTCATTTCAATTTTTTTGTAACAATTTGAGGGTTTTATAAGAACCCAAATAAACAATGTAATGGGGGCGGTCCCTTATATTTCGAATGAAATAAAAAATAGTAGCATTTTATATTTTATTTTTGACATTTCTCTTTCACTAAACGTACAAACTAAAAAAGGGGAAATAGAGTGCTTACAGGGGGGTAGTATCGCGGTGGTAGAGGTCTCCATTGCCCAATTTGAACAGTCTAAAAGAATAAGAGAAGTCGACGAGCAACATATCTTAAAACGAAGGAGATCTAACGATTGATGGATGAGATCGGCGAGGAAAAAGCGGAAACACTTTTTTCTCTTTTCGTTAAGTTGGTGGCTAAATCTCGCAAAACTAAGCCTCGATCCGACCTCACGGCATCAAGGGAGAAAACCCTTAAAATTTGGTAGCCATCAGCCACTGGAGATGGTGGCGATCGACGGTCGGCTCGGCTGTCGAGAATGACACTTGTCGTCGGTTTATGGGAAAATAGAGAGAAGGGAGAGTGTTTGAGAAAGGAGAGAGAGTGGGGAAGGAAAATGAGGAAAAGGGGGAAGGAAGGGTATTTATACCCATAGCAAACGACGTCGTTTAATCCCCTGGTGATTTACGTTTTGGTCCCCAATGGTCTAATCACACACGCAACCCCTAAACCTTCTTATCGTGTGCAATTTTGTCTCGATTTCAATTATTTAGAATGTTTGTCCTTATTATGTTATTTTCCATTTTATGATCTTATGCTAACTTTTGGTTTAGTTCTTTTAGGTCCTTGTACATTTCTTGTGTTTTTACAAAGTAGTCACATGTTCGTCCTTTTTATTATTATACTTAAATGTATGTACTTAGGCTGTAATATACATTTAATTAATGTTGCTAGTTGAAATTTATGGGTTATTCACGTTAAGATCCCTCTACTTTAGGTGCGAATCTGCATATTGGTCATATTTTCCTCCTTTTTTTATTATTGTGAATTTGAATTATTAATTTCATTTTATTTTGTTTTAGTCACTTATTTACATTTTTCGTTATTTTTATT